AAACAATATGGGTGTATAGGTTTATGTGTACTTTTATGTATATTATGTGTTGCCAAACACGCGTTGATCAGATGTCATATACTTGTACTACTCATTCACGTCGCAACAGTTCTTTAACTCTATCTCTTTAAATCGTATAAAACAGCTTGTGCTGACTGACGGATTGCCGATCAACACACAGACAAAACGACAAGAGCTAGAAAGCTGATATTTGGACATTTGGTGTAGGTGCGCCCTAAGAGGGGGCTTAAAATTTAACGCGAAAAGGTGGAAAATGGTCTCAAAAATTTGATAAAAAAACATAAATGTTCATGCGATTAACATTAAACTTGGTTTGTATAATCTATGAAAGAATGCAAAAAAACTCTTTTACATGCACCTTCACTAAACAAGTACACTCTTTTACGCTTAATTGGGAGAGACCATAAATTGCAGATACGAAACGGCATTTAGAGAGGCAGAGCAAATAAAAAGCAATACGAAATTCCGATCACAAGTATATTCCCACGTCCACATAAAATTTCTTATCGGTTGCACAAGCTGCTGCAGTCCGATACAAGTGTTCTACGAAAAATATATGATGATCTTAGTAATGCTCATGGAAATTTATTTACTCATCATGCCACTTACTTTGCATTTCAGGAGTCTGGAAAAAGAAGCCGCTTTAGTTTGCAAATGCAGTAACTCGATCAGAAATATGAGTTCCATTAGGCGTTTATTCAGTTCGACAATTCGATCGTTGCATAGTCCAATAAGAAAGATTTTGAGACAAGGTTCAACACAAAAACCAAGCCTATCACGCACAACAAATATCCATCGATCTGTTATACTCATATTGCTCGTGTTTCCAAACATTAGAGTGTACTCCATATCACATAAATCATTTGTTAAATTAAGCATGCTGGTGAAGAAAATAGTAGAGATGGGTAACCAGAGAAGAACAACATTGTGGTGCTCGTTAATTATGCGTCCATAGATCCTACAAATTTGTAGAAGTTTTCGACGCATACGCAGAACCGGAACCCGTCCACTCTGCAACAAGTCCAAGTATTGCTTAGCAAAGTCTTGAAGCGCTTTATGCCACGCCATTAGGAGGAGTTGGTAAGCAAAAAAGGCAGAGTAGAACATGTCGAATATCAGCGTTTTCACTAGGATTATAGTTGGTTCGCTGTTTAACACGTAGTTGTAGATTTGGAGCAAGGTGACTCCACTTTTCAAAACAGATGTAAAAAGTATCAGTGTTTCGCATTTAAAATGATTGGCGCCAAAGCATTTGCTTATATTCCGGTGAAGTTCGATGAAATTATTGACAGTCGCTATCAGGAGTTTGTTATAATTGGTGTTTTGAGCCAAAATCAGCAAATTAAAATACTGCCAGACTGTGACCGTATATCTTGTGGATTGAAATAATTTATAATATTGTGCAAGCGACGGTATATTCTCCGTAAATCTACAGAACACGTATAGAACGACTAACATAAGTTCATCAAGATCGCATAGGACCAATCCGAGTCTGAAAAGCCAGGAAACTATAGAATTAACCAATTGTTGCTCTCTCAAAACTAATTTGTATCCTTTGAAGTCATATCTAAACCGACCGAGTCCCATGAAACGACAACCGTAGTAAGTAGTCCAGATTGTAATGCCAATAATGTAGTTGAAGATCGAAGATTTCATTTTGTTCTTCTTCCCCCTCTCCTTTATTCGAACAATTTCGATATTTCCGAAGCGGTGGCTTCGAGGCATTTTGAGAGACTAGAGTGAATAGATTGGGCTCTAGTCGAATAGTCGTTCAATTATCATTAGCTCTCAGCACAAATGCTAAGCAATTTTTTTCAATTGAGGACATTTATTACTCATTTTCCAATAGCCTCATTCATCGATTGATTTTCACGCTAAAGAATTTTGTGCTGTACAGGAATTGAAATCTCTTTAAACCGAACTAAAGGACAATTCTTATTCCATTGCATTAATATCTTTCTTATCTTCAAAATACGTATATAACAGCCAAAGACAAAAGTCGCTTGTGCTGGCATTAAGACAGCCGAGAGGTCGTTGTAAAATACATTTTGTTTAATTTCTATAATCTGCCACGCCTCTTTCTGTATGTTACATACATTCACACTAAACTAGTACACTCTTTTACTATTAGGGTACAAAGTATAATGAAAACGTCTTAGCTTTTATAGAGAGAGACTTCAAATTGCAGATACGAAACGGCATTTAGAGAGGCAGAGCAAATAAAAAGCAATACGAAATTCCGATCACAAGTATATTCCCACGTCCACATAAAATTTCGTATCGGTTGCACAAGCTGCTGCAGTCCGATACAAGTGTTCTACGAAAAATATATGATGATCTTAGTAATGCTCATGGAAATTTATTTACTCATCATGCCACTTACTTTGCATTTCAGGAGTATGGAAAAAGAAGCCGCTTTCGTTTGCAAATGCAGTAACTCGATCAGAAATATGAGTTCCATGAAACGCCTATTCAGTTCGGCAATACGATCGTTGCATAGTCCTATTAGAAAGATTTTTAGGCAAGGATCAACACAAAAACCAAGCCTATCACGCACGACGTATATCCATCGATCTGTCATGGTCATATTTCTCGTATTATCAAACATTATAGTGTACTCCATCTCACATAAATCATTTGTTAAATTAAGCATGCTGGTGAAAAGAATTGTGGAGACGGGTAACCAGAGAAGAACAACATTGTGGTGCTCGGTAATTATGCGTCCATAGATTCTATAAATCTCTAAAAGTTGTCGACGCAAACGTAGAGCCGGAACCCGTCCACTCTGCAACAAGTCCAAGTATTGCTTAGCAAAGCCTTGAAACGCTTTATGCCACGCCATTAGGAGGAGTTGGTAAGCAAAAAAGGCAGAGTAGAACATGTCGAATATCAGCGTTTTCACTAGGATTATTCTTGGTTGCGTGTTTAATAAGGTGTTGTAGATTTGGAGCAAGGTGATTCCGCTTTTCAAAACAGATGTACAAAGTATCAGTGTCTCGCATTTAAAATGATTGGCGCCAAAGCATTTGCTTATATTCCGGTGAAGTTCGATGAAATTATTGACAGTCGCTATCAGGAGTTTGTTGTAATTGGTGTTTTGAGACAAAATCAACATATGCAAGTACTGCCATACTGTGACCGTATATCTTGTGGACTTAAATATTATTTTATATTCTGCAAGTGACGGTATATTCTCCGTAAATCTACAGTATACATATAACGCGACTAGCATAACATCATCAACATCCCATAGGACCAATCCGAACCTGAAAAGCCAGGAAATTATAAAATTAGTCCATAGTTGCTCTGTCAAAACTAATTTGAATCCTTTCAAGTCATATCTGAAACGACCAAGTCCCATGAAACGACAACTGTAGTAAGTAGTCCAGATTGTAATGCCAATAATGTAGTTAAAGATCGAAGAGTTCTTTTTGTTCTTCTTCCCACTCTCCTTTATTCGAACAATTTCGATATTTCCGATGCGGTGGCTTCTAGGCATTTTGAGAGACTAGAGTCGAGAGATTGGATTAGCCACATAGTTGTTCAATTATCATTAGTTCCCCGCAAATTTATTTTTATTGAGGACATTTATTACGCATTATGCAAAAGCCTCATTCAGCGATTGGTTTCCACGCTAAAGGATTTTCATTTAATGCTGTTACAATTTTTATTTAACCTTTTTGCTTAATTAAGTAGAAAAGGGTAAGCTGCCTGTACTCTTAACATGAAGATATCTTTTGGCTAATTATTATTATTTTAATACCAATTTTCTAAATTTAAATTCACTAAAGCTAAATATTCAAAGCAAATTTAAAAATTGAAAGAATATAAGCAACAAAGTTTGTCAATAAATAAAAGTGATAAAAATATTGCAAAAGTAGAGTGAAATTAATTTTCGAATTAAACGTAATAAGTATAACGTGCCATATCAGGTATTTTGCTTTTGAACCATTTTTAAGATTTAATTAGCAAGCTACAAAGTGTCTGTTAAACATACAACCTACAAATTATTTAAAACACTGAAAATATTTGAATATAACTTGGAATGAATAAAAACATTTATGTTGATATTTTGAAGCCAGCCGTAGCTTCTTTACTTTTTAGTATAAATTATCAACGCATTATCAATTTTTAATCAAATCTGTTGACTATATCGTGTACTTGTGAAGAGTCTAGGCTTAGGGCGAAGAGAAGGAATAATTGACTGCAGTTCTTGGTTAGTATTAAAGTTTATTGATTAGGAAAGCAGACTAGATTTGATTGGGTTGTTCATTGTATATAGGCAATAGCTTCCACTTGGCTGCAATATTAAGTGTGCTAGAGCCTTATTCGGCACAAGATCGCTATCAAATTCTATATAAGTATATATAAACAGTTTGCTTGTGTAAGTGGAGTGGAAGTAGTTGAGCTGATATATTCATTCTTCAGTTCTCTTTCGTAATCATTTATTAGTTTCCAAATTAAAACATGTCCCCCCACAAGTTTTAAAAATTTGTCTGAGTTATTCACAGCTTCACGAGTACTGGCACTGGAAGAATTCCTTTAAGAAATATCTGTTTTATAAGGTAACAACAAATTATTAAAACAATCAACAGTTTCGTCTAGAATAACAAGATAAGATCTTTAAAGAGAGCTTTAAAAGTTGTAGGTTGTTGGGCTATGTTAGTTGTAATAAGAGAGGTTATTAACAAATAAGTTGGATCGGGGAAAAAACACATAAAATAAGTACACTACAAGTTATTACCTTTACGTGACAATATTTAATTGTCAGAAGCTGAAAATCGACCTTCGCGAATATCAATTCAATAAATCATTCCATTCACTTTGAATTTGATTTTAGAATTAATTTAATGCTGGCGAATGGTATAGACAGAGTGAAAGGAAAAGACAAAATGATTTTATTTGCTAATTTGTTTATTTTTCACATATTTCATAGTTAATACAATCAATATTTGTATAATTTATTTATACTGTTCATTTATTTCCTCTTAATTTTTATTTATTTACTTTTTTTTGCATACTCTGTTGCATTCTCATATGTTCACAATACCACTCGGAGGCAATGTCTGGTTGCCGTTGTTTATCGTAAAACTTATCTTAAATATGATATCTCTGAAATCTCTTAAATTCAATTGCTTTTACGAAATAGATAACTATCTTGCTTTATGTTTAATTTGTCGTTTAGTTTGCTGGGCGCATAGTAATATTCACTAATTGAAATATGTAATCCGTTATTTTATATATCGTATTTAAATTTATCAATATTTTGGCCTGTTCTGGGTTACGATCGATGCATATGTATGTATATTTGTTTGATGGCTGAGACTCTGACTGTTGCTTGGACATGAAACATAAAGTTGTCTGTTATATTTTTTGTTCATTTTAAATATCTCTCTTTTTTGTTGGTTCAGTGAGTTGCATAAATAGACTTCAAACCGCGGCTCACCGATCGGTCTGTTTGCAAAAAGGGACGGTAAAAATTACAATAAAATCATTTTGAAATATGCATTTTGTCGCTCAATGTATAATTAGTTTAGATTTAACAAATAGCTTGCTTCGTCGTCATTTTGCTTATTATTTCACTTCATTCTTCAAATTCTACTAACTTTAATGGCTTGTATAAATATATTTACAATATGTTTGTTTTCCATTTAGTTGCGTATGTAGTAAATAATTTCTATTGACAACTTGTTGTCTGTTCATGTTATTTTGTTTTTTTGTTGTTGTTGCTGTGCTGGTGAGTATGTGTGTGTTTGTGTGAGAGAATTTCACATATATATATTAAATATAAATTCAATTTAATGGCTCGGTAATTTACACAATATTCTTCACGTTCTCCACGTTCAGTATATTTTTGAATTTCAAGTGGATTTCTCCGAACACAAATAGAAGCAACAAATGTTGGCGAAAGGGTAGAGAAAAACTGCTACTAAGTGCTAAGTGCGTGCTTTTGTCACTACTTTCTTCAGTTATTTGCTACTAATACATAAATACTTTGTTAAACTTTAACGCATGCTGGCTATTTTATGTTTTATAGTATAAATTTAGTTGCTGCTCTTAGGCCGCCACTGGGGGAGCGTGCACGATAAAATAGTATAGCATACTTTGCGGCGTCGCCGAAAATCGAAATTGCAGCGCCGTGCTTTTAAAATACAAACAAACAAATGTGTAGGTTGATGTCTAAGTTCTGTTTTACTTAAAGTAAATACAAATGAATTTAGCTAGTAAATGTTAATGGTTTTATCAAGGTATATTTACTTTTTTTGTTGTTGCAATTAAATTGTAATTAAATAATAATGCACATAAAATATAAATTATTATTATTATTTCAGCTGCTTAGGCTACATAAACAAAAAAAACTAGGTTTTTTTCTCATTCATTGCAAACAAAGATAATTAATCTAGTTGATTACTGTTGCTGTCGTCTCCTCTATGGGACGCACAATAAATACAAAAATCATTGAGAAACGACGTCTTTGAGACGTAGCCAATGGCTACTTATAACTTTTATAGAGTTTTACACTTTTATACTGATTTATATTTTACATTTGCGTTCGGGGGCAGTCACATTTGAAAAATTTGTGTTGCTGCACACTTTCTACTTTTCATTTTTAATTGTTTTTACGTACATATTAACGCTGTCGTTTTGGCAGCAGCTGAGAAAATACTCATGGTTTGCTAGCCAATTAATACATTTGTCAATTATCAATAATAAATTTGATCAAAATATCTCATCTGATTCACCATTTAAATTTTAATCGCTTGCGCGCAGCGTTGTTAACAAAACTCAAATCATTTAATGCGAAAGTTGAGAGAACTTTCAGTTAACTTAAGTATATCGAAAAATACGATGGCCTTGTTGGCACTTTACGTTAGCTCTTGGTTTTTTTTAATTAAATTAATTGGACGTTTAAGTAACTAACCGTTAATAACCATTTCATCGACTTTTTACCTAACAAAAAACTTTCGTCTAACTAAACTTTCAATAAATACAAATACAAACAGATACAAATAGTTATACGCAGTAGAACGTAAGATAGTTAGTTATACCTTCGTTGGCAATACATTTTGTAGTATTTCCTGTGTGTGCCAGCTTGTGGATTTGTGAGGGCCTTCGAGGACGCATGCCGAACTAATTTACAACTTAAGCAATGTATAAACTAAAGCCAAAAGTTTACGCTGCACGCTTATTCTATGTTAGAAGGGATTCGCGTTGCTGCCCGCCGGATTTCTGCTGGAGGGGCGTGTGGAAAACGATGACTTGCCGCTGGTACCGCGCTGGGGTGGCATTGGACGACGCACATGCCGCATTTCCCTGTGGGTGAATAGAAAAGGAAAAGATTAGTTGAGCAAAGTTAATAAATGTGTGAAAAGAATTGGAGGAAGGGAAAGTTACAAAGTTCAGAAACGTTTTTAATTTTGGTAGACTTTCCCTTACCTCGCCATTACATTCTTTATATTGAGTGGCAATTCTAAGCTTATATTAGAGCGCAGGAATTTGTGCAGTTTGTGGGTGGGTTAGGCCAGCAGCTGTGGTTAGCAGTTGGGGGAAGCGGCACATGCAACAACATGTACTGGAATGCTTACCAAATGCTGGATAGGGGGCTACTCTACAAGGGACTCTATTGAGTGATATTGTGAAAATAAATTGCAGATAATGGGTATTGGTTTGTTTAGCGACCCAAATGCACCCACCGATCCATTTCCATTTCCTCGAGACGTTGTGTGAGTGCCAGCTTCTGCTGCACTGCCAGCCTGAGCAATTGATTTAGGGTCTTCTTCTCCTCCTCGGCGGCCTCCAGCTGGCGATTGAGATCATCCACCTGGGTGACGTACTCCTCGCAACGTGCGGCGAACATGGCGCGCAGACCTGCATTTTAGAAAAGCAATTCAAATCTTTTTCGTTTCTATAATCGGCTTCTACTCACTTGAAAAGGTGGCCGCATCTTCTTTGAGTATCTTGAGCTCGTTTCGCAGCTTGGACATGGTCTCGCTTACGACCATTTTCTCGTTCTCATACTTTGACTTGAGATTGGTGAGCGCAACCTCGGCGGTTTGCTTGTTAGACTTGAGCACGGAGCGCAGTGTGGCAATTTGCTCGCGTTTGGTAGACAAAAGACTCTTTAGCTTGACAATTTGCTCCTGCAGTTCTTCCATCTCCTCAGGGTTGTATTTCTCAGTGACTGGAAAAGGAAAACTATCCAATATTTGCTCTTGTTTGCAACGATTGAAGATCTTACCCTCTCCGCCTTCGGCTCGCACTTTGTGCTTGTTCAGCTCGATAGTGTGCTCCACTGCAGTCTTCAGATACTTGATCTGATCGCTGACGGTGTCCACATACTTTTTAATTTCCACCGAATCGGCCAGTCCCTGCAAATCTTCAACAATTTGTGGGCGTGCAATGAAGACATCCGACTTGAACTGCGACTGTATGGCAGTCAGGGAGTCGTTCTCAAAGCTATACACAAAAATACATTAAAAGGTGCTCTAAATTATAAATTTTTATTCCGTATGACCCACCTCATATCGTCGCTCTTGTGATCCAAAAGCACGCGCGTAGGCACATCCCCATTGACTGTGCAGACAAGATGATATAACTGCGCCAGATCATCGCTGAGAGCCACCAACGTGCTGCGCGCCGAGCCCAAGCTCTGGCCTGCGTTCTGGGAGATGTGCGTGAGCGTCTGCACATCGCTTTGCAGATCCAGCGATTTCTGTTCGGTGGAGAGCAGCTTGTTCTTCAGATTTGTCACCTCGTTGCGCAGCGTGGTCATAGCGTCCGTATAGTTTAAGCCCTTCTGCAGCTCGGCTATGTCAGTCTTGAGGCCGTCAATTTCCTTGGCGGAGAGCGTGAACCAATTGGCATACTGTGTGATGATGCCACGCAGCTGTTGCTGCAGTTCATCCTTTTGCTGCTCGTCGGTGGTCTGCTGCTTGACGTCGATTTGCTTCTTCAATTGCACGAGCGCGTCGACGTGAGCGGCCAACAGGGCCAAGCGGGACATAAAGTTTTGCAGTTCGTTTTGTGACTTGTCCAGACTCGATTGGGCCTCACGTAAATTGGCCGTCAGATGCGATTTCTCATTCTCCATGCTCTCCAGCTGTTTCTCCAGCTTCTTCAGCTCGTTCAAATGGATTTCGGAGAAGAGATCGCATTTTGTGCCATCGGGTGATTTGAGCTCGGTGGTTAAATCAGCCTCGAGTCGCTTAAGCGCCAAGTTCTCCTCCTCGCCATCGGAATTAGTGCTGGTGGTATCATCCATATTTCGTATGCTGTATGCCAGATTGCTGATGTGGTACATGGACTCGCGGTTTAGATGGCTATCGAGTTCCTTTTTCAGTGCATATTTGGCTTCGCGTTCGCCCTGTAGTTGAAAAGGAAAGATTTGTGCTTGAGTTGCTTTCTAATTGCATTATACTATAGAGTGTATTTCTCACCTGCAGCGCTTCGAGCGCCTCCTCCATTTGTTTCTCGGCGATCTTCTTTAGGTTGGCCAACTCATCAACTTGCTGATGCAGCAATTCCAAATCCTCTTTGAGGCGGCCTATTTCGTGTTTGGCACCTTCAAACTCCACCTGGAAACGATGAAGCAGAAACAATTAACTCAAGGTAATTAGAAAGGAAAACTTTATTGTCAACTCACCTGTGAGCTGCGCAGACTGGACACCTGCTTCTGCAGCGATATGTTCTCCTCCTCGAGTTCAGAGTACTCGGTCAGCATGCGCGTCTCTCGAAACTTCAAGTCCTTCAGCTCGGACTTGAGTCGCAGCCGATCGGCCTCATTGTCCGACTTGTCGCGTCCAATATCTGAGTTCTCCTGCAGCATGCGATCGCGCTCGTTGCGTACGCGTTCCAGTTCATGACGCAGCTGCTTGATCTCATTCTCCAGTTCCAGAATTTGCAAGTTCAGGGATGTTTCGCGTGCGGCTGACTCATTCAGCAGCGTCTCTTCCTGCTCAATGCCGGTCTTGTTGGTAACCTTTTGCGAGGTTTGGAATTTGGTGAGTGCCTGCCGAGATACGAGAAAATTGAAATTTTGAGTTAGCAAGCAGACAATAAAAAAGTTTCTTCGCAATTTTATTGCACATATACTATGTATGCATGTACAGATATTCTTATTTGCATGTGTAGTGGATGGCTGGGCTGGCTAGGAGTGGGACAGCATCGTTGCGAGCAGCACTTCTCAGCCACTGGGGAGCACTGTCTGCTGACGACGCCTGCCCCCTTTTGAGCTGTTCAGCTGGTTACATTTTTCATTAAATGGCGTGCCGCTTTTCGTTGTATATTTTTTTATTATTGCAGATTTTGCCTCACTGGAGGCCAGAAGCTGTTTCGGCTGGAGCAGCATCCTTCGCTGCGTGTCTTTTATGGCTTGTGTCGCGCTTTTATTGGATTTTCGTTAATTGCATGGTGCGTGCAGTGTTGCAAAACGCGCCCAGGTCCCATAAAGGCTGATGGGCGCGCCGTGCTCATGTGGCTGCGCGTCCTGGACACACCCAGCCGTTGGTCAAAAAGGTAAATAAATGCACACGCACATGAACACATTAACAGCATATACTCCACACCTATACACACACACACACACCTAAACACACATCGTATCATGTTTTTGAACTGCTTTGAAGCAACCTGGCCAAGCCCTAACTGCGCTTTGGAGACGCATGTATGTAGCTGATTGAAGGCCTGCGGCGCGTGTCCATATGTACGGCCATAATCCTGTTATCCTGCTGCTTCCATGAGCATGCGACAAACAAAAGTATATACATACATACATATACATATGTATGTACATACAAAGAGCGCTAAGCTTTAATTGAAATCTCGCTGGTAGTTGCACATAAAAGCGATGAAGCCAGCAGGCAGCAGCAGCGCTTTTTTATGGGCATTTGAAGGACGTGCTTCATGGCGAAAGTTTCATCATCAAAACTGCGCCGGTCGACTGCATAGTGAGGGCAAAATACTTGAAAAATGTTGCGCAGTGCTGTGGCATGTAACTGACCGGAGGAATCGGCCTGGCGCTCCGGCGGGGAGAAGAAAATGCATTCCACAGCCAGCAACCAACTGACTATGCATTCTTTATATTTTCCTTAACTCTTTCCTTGAATGCCACCTCCTCCACTGGCTTAAGCGCTGTGTAATTAGCAGGCGACAAAGTTCTTACAGTGACAAATACAGACGACAGTATTAACCCACTGATGGCCCAATTCGAGTACAAATATTCAAGAATGCAAAAAATTTTACGTTGCAGTGTTTTCACTCAAGTTTTCATGTTTTAAGTTGGCCTTTATAAACTCGGATAGTTATTACTATATTTTAGATTATAATAACATTTTGTTAAAATATTATTATATATATTTGATAATTCACTGGTGTCATCATAAAGCTAACACTCAATTACTTATCGGAGCATGCTCCGTTTCTCGAATTAAATTTTATGAAATCTTCAATTACAAACAAATGAAAGAATTTAGAGAATTCGATTCGACTACCTACAAACGAGTAAGAGGTAAGAAATAACGCCATTTGGTTAAAAAAGAACATTTTGCCAAAGCGGATTTTAGAAATTTTAATTGATATAAAATAAAATAAAATCGAAGCCGTGATTTTTTATGGGACTGCACGTGAGATGCTTTTTATTTTTTATTTATTTCTATTGCCAAAATCAATGAGTAAGAGTTCGAAATTCTTCTTCATCCACCCTATTTCCTGTTTCCAAACTAGAAATAATGACGGGTTGGAGTTCGCTGTTGATGGTTTTTTGTCGGATTCGTTTCTTACAATAAATAAGGTGTTGAAGGCTAATGAACGTTTTTAAGAAAGGTGTACCCAACAGGACTTTGTATAGAAAGATACCCCCCATTTTAGAAGTTTACGTTACATTTTTTTTCGGATACTTTTGGTTTTTAAATATTGCACGAGATGTTTTGAATGGAATTTTTAGTGCTTTTTCCTCAAAAATGATTGAATTTGGACAACAGTCATGCTTTTTAGTTATAATGGAAATAATATTATAATTTTAATATGATATGTATTATGATATATACTTGTACGAGTAATGAATCAAATTATTTTCTCTGAAAAATTAGAAGAGCACAAGGACAAGAAAACACAACTGGAAAGTATTGTCGTCACTTCAAAATTCGTTATTAAAAGTAAAGCAGCAATGCAATTCCAGAGACCATGAAATTGCAAAGATTTTAATATGTACTATATATACTATTTACGATAATACATGTAATTAAGCTTTTTATTTTCCAGCTTCTAATTTTCTAAATCTTCCTTTAAACCAAATACGTCATGATGCTTAAGTTTAGAGTTTAATAACGGCTTACCCTAAAAAGCTGAAATATATTTCAGTTGTTAAAAAAAACAAGTCTTGATGTTTTTCTGTGGAATTAAGAAACGTGAATTGTGCGCCAAAAATGTGCAACCAACGTTTGCCACAAAAGTGTTAAAAGGAGGCGAAACGGACAAAAACACCCACAAGCATTTTTGTGCTCAGCTTCGTTTCTTCTCAATCCTTTTTATAGTCCTCGTAATTACTGTCAACTGGCTGTGCTTGCTGCTAGCGGCGGGTATTGCTGAAGTGGATTGTGCCCACAGCCCCTCCTCCTTTGTTCTGGTAGTTGTTGTAATCTTAATTTGACAATCAAGCCGGCAGCCGCCGGTGGAAAGCCGAGAGTGGCGAGTGCATTTCGTTAATTAATAGAAGAAGCGGGCAGTGAAAAGTCAAAAACAAAAGTGGGCCAGGAAGGCAGGCGTTTGAAATTTGAGTTGGTCTCACTGTGCACAGTGGCACACAGTAGTCATATGCACACAGACCTGTGAAGCACGTGCCCGCACCTAGACTGGATCAACTTCATGCAAATTAGAAAATTTTTAATTAACTTGTGCAAATATTATCATAGGGCGCAGGTTCAGCACGACCGGCAGGATACGGGCAGGCTCTCCGGCTAGTTTAGCCTGCCCAGACACTGGCTCTGCATAATGAAGTGTAGTTGGAGCACCTTCTCCCCACCCCCTCTAGGCCACCTCAGCTAAAGTGCAACGCACGTTTTGTGTTTGCGGTTGGATTAAAAGGGTGGGGCTTGGAAAAGTAACTTGGACTGCTAAATGGGGTCTAAAATGTTTGCCGTTGTTGTTCGGCCTGTTTCCCACATCGTCATCGTCAACAAATTTGCAACAGCAACAGCTGCTGTTGCATTAAAAATAGAGCAGATTGCCCACATTACGACACCAAAAACAACAAAACATCACTATCTACGTGCTCATTTTTGTAATGCGACGACGCGCGATGCTCTGACTATAACCGCTCCCCTCCCATATCATGTGTGGGTGCTTGGCTATATGGATGTACTATATGGTTGGATGGACGGTTGGCTGAATGGCTGGCCTGTTTGCCGTGCATAATGATAAAGTATGCCATGAATGACTGAGCAGTTTGTTGTTGTTGCCGCCGCTGTTGCTGCTGCTGCAGCAACGCCCCAGTCGTTATGTACAGTTAACGGCCAGCTCTGCCTCTGCCACAATTTTGTCGCATGGAAATTTAAATCTGTCACAGCACTAACAACAACAACAACAGCAGCAAATATACCCACAACTTTACAAATACAAACGGCAACACATTTGTAGTTGTCTTTGTTGTTCTTATTATTGTTGTTGTTGCTGCGGCACGCTGTGTAATTTTTTAAGCCACACTGACACACATACAAATAGATATGTTTGTGCCTACACATTTATATTTATGCACGTACAGTGAAAAGTGCTTAAATGAAACATCACAGCATCAGACAGAACTTATCTATTTGGATTCGCAAAATCTGACAATCGTTTTTGCTACAGAAATTGAAGTTCAACATTTCTTAGTGGGCTTTAACAAATTTTTCACAAAAAGTGATTTTCAAACAATGTTTATATTTCCGGTAAGGGTTGCTGATTTGAAAAAGAGTTCATTTTTCTCTAAAGCCAATTGATGAATTGATGATTGCTTTTTAGTCGAGCCATTTAGAAAAACATGAAATGCCATAGAACTTTTCGATTTGGATTCTACATTTTATTAATTTTTTGAGCATTACTTGATTTGCAATAAAACACTCCTAAATAATATTCGAATAGATCTATTGTAGAATTTGTGGGCGGTTGATCAGCTATTTGAAATCAAAATGACCTGGAGGTATCAAATATCCGAATTGTTGAAATTCTTTTTCGAAATAATTTAGAGAGAATTATTCCCAGCAATAATGATACAAAGTAGAATGGAAAAGAGTGTTACTCGATGATGTTATCAATAACAAGTTGTAGTTCTTCCATTCACAGCTTTTCTTAAGCAATTTAAACTGTATCTCGGTCACGATCTTTGTCTCTAGATTACAATTATACGGTAGGTCAATTATGATCAATTATATAACATTTAAAAGGAATTTTGTTGGGGGCTGGGCTTAAAACATTGGCATTTTCGATGCGTAAGATGAGAATATCTATAACGGCGATGGGGAAACAACTTTTTAGCCCTATAAACAATTTTTATTTACATATTTAAAAAAAAAGAGAATTTAATTTTACTGAATGTTTAAGCTTACGAATTAAAATGCATCAAAATGGTTTGAAAATGAAATTTGTTTTATGTAGTACTAGTTTTAAACAAGAATTAATATTAATTCGTATGGCACACGTAAATATGTAATTTTGTTAAATGGCATAACAATTCCAAATACGAAAATAAAATTTAAAAGAATAAATTGCAGAAACTAAACTAAAGATGTGGTGTTAATATAATAAAGAATATCACTTAGATTTAAGAGAATAATTTTTGGTTGCCTAAAATAAAAACTTAATCTTAGCTACCGCTTTGCTTGATAAGTTTTGTATTCTAATGTTTTTGGTAATTGTGGAGTTTCCTTAACATATTCATCGCTTCTTCTTAGTTCTTCTTCTTTTAGCTACTTATATTTAAAACCAATATTAAAAAACAAAAAAAGGTGTTAAAAAGACGGTTAATCTGTCTATTTT